CAGCAGTGTACTTCATAGATCTGCCTGTTCTGCTCCCCGCTCTGTCTCTGGTGAATCCTCTCACCCTCCACATCTCTGGTCTGTAACCCAGTTCTGTATAAATAAATAAATCTTTAAAAAAAAAAGTATTTTTAGAATTTGGTTTTAGTCTAATAAAATAACACATGAAGAAAAGGAGGCCAGCTTGCTTACCTCACCTTTTGGCTAACCTACTTGGTGGAGCCTGTTGGCCAGGTCCCTACCTGACTTACAAGTTAATAACCGTTGCAACATAAGTGAGTTCAGGGCATGTCAGCCTCCCTATCTGTAAAATGGGGGTATCAACAGGAGCTACCTCACAAGAGCAGTCTGAGAATTAAAACAGATCAACCACTGAGTTATATTAACTTCTTAATAAACATTATAGTCAGACAAAGTTTTGTCTCATTACTTAATTCATTATTCCTCCAAGTTATTTTCTGTTCTCCTAGAAAGATCCACAGGTGAGTGAGAGGAAAATACAGAATAAATACAGAGTTTGACATTTTTGCTGTGGAATAACAAAATCTCCACAGCAAAACAAAATAACAAAAGCAGAGCTGTTTGGTTTGTTTCTTTGCCAAGCTCTTTGGCTAGTAGATTGGTAAAGAGAACACACTGGCTTACAGCTTCTTGGGCACTTCCTGAGGTTAGTTCTACCTGGGAAAGACTGTATCTCAGAATCTAACAGCCTTTAGCAATTACTCCTAATCAAAATAATTGCATCACAAAATTCCCTGCTTTATGAAGATACTTGTCTTTTTTTTTTTAAGAGATGTCTGCTTGGTGGGTTAGCTTCATTTATATGTGGAGTTATGTATGCAGTGGAAACAGCTGAGCTGATAGGGCTAGCACTTTGATGAATTGAGAGGCCCTGGGTCTGCCTCTGCCCCCCACCAGCCCTCCCTGACCTCAGGCAAGGTCTCCCTTGGGGGACAATTGGATAATGTCTCTCTGTGCTTTGGGGCCTATTTGATCTTTCTTAATAAGTTCTGTGAAACCTTGTCTCTTAAAAGCAAGTGAATTCAGATAGGTGTGGGTTCATATATTATGTGAAAGCCACACTCCTCTAGTGTGGAAACCATCAGGGCTCTCCAAGAAACCCAATCCCCAGCCCAGGGGTGACAATGGGGCTATGTGCATCTGGCTTGCTCCATGCATGCAGACAGACTGGAACGCTCCTTCCTGTCCATCCATCATGGCTCAGCAAAGGTTCCAAAAAGCACACTGCCTCACTTTCAGGGACTAACTACAGAGGATTTCCAAGTTAGAAAGCATTAAAATAAGCTAAATTTAATCTCATGAAAATCTGCTCTTTTCCTGCAGTTTTTCTTGCTCATGTAAGCATTTCTTAGTTAAAGTCTTCTAAAAAGCTAAACTCTCGAAGAGCTTCCAGTATACTTTGGAAAGTATATTGTTCAAAGCAAAGAGCATTAAAAGCACTGAAGAAAAAAAATCAAACATTTCATGGAAATATAGGGAATTAAAATGTGATTATTTTTTCTTTTATATTTCCAATGAAATTGTTTTTCTAGAATATTTATCATTCAGTTCTCCTTTCATGATGTAGAGAAGCCAAAATTATTGTTGGAAATAAGATAAATCCTCCTTTTATACTTTTCTAATGGATAGTGAGATGTTGCAAATAACAGTAGCAGTTATAAACTTACTGGGACATTGTAAATAATGAGGCACAATGCATATCTGACTGTAAGCTGCTGTTCATCTGACTGTAAGCTGCTGTTTGGAGCAAAATGCAAAGCCTTCCTCTGGGCATGGGATCCTTTCTCCACAAGTGGAGTGGGGGAAGGGGCCCTGCAGAAACTTCCAGTGTTGGTTCCTTAGTCTCACTGCAAACAACAGGATCGTTTATCCCAAATACCCTATTTTATGCTATAAAAATCATAAGAGTAAAATTTATTTGGCTTCCTTGAACAAAATGGGGGAATATGTATTGTAAAGAGTTTTGCCATATTTTATTCTATTTTATAGAATAAACGCTGTTTTAAAACCACAAATTTTGTAAACAGGGAGAAAAAGAGTTCTAGAAGGCTGCTGAGAGATTCAAGTGACTTCACAAGTAGTCACTTTACTGTGAACGAGTAACATTTGTTCAAAAATTGTGAAGTCATGTAGACATGAAGCGTGAATCTGTGACTTGTTTCTGCTCCTGTAAGGAAAAGAAGATGGAATTAGCTCCTGAAAGAGTGGCTATTGAATTTTTGTTTTCTCTACAAATGGATGAATCACAGCTATAGCTACCCATTTTCTTCTCATTGAATATTTTTTCAAATTATTTGATTCTTGTGTCTATGCCCTACCCAAAAGGAATAAAATATATTGTGTCTGGATTTTACCACCTTTAGTTTGAATAAATGAACAGATAAGGTGAAGAAAATATTTGATTTCTGAGATGAAATAAATCTATAGGTTGTTTTGTGTTCTAACCCATCTAAAGTAATCAGTCAGTGTTAGAACATTTAAGGAATTGTCCAGAATTCTGAATTGTTGAGTTATACTTACATTAAATAGATGGAAATTCTTCATTTAAAAAAAGAGTGCTTACCATTTAACTGCAGGTGCTGATGTTGGAAAAATTGGTATAGCTGGAATTGTCTACCCTTCAAAACACTTTTTCTATTAAAGACAGACTGGATGTAGTTTTAGTACATGAAAACAGTGGAAAATGACGAGGCAAATAAAATGGAAATCCAGTGAATTTAGGCTTTCACATCCGTTTAGGTGAATCAAAACTAAATCCCAAAGAAGTTTGACTTTTTATAGCTTATCTAGTGATGATCAGTTTTGTTTTAAATTGATAGTTTCTGTGGACTAGCTGAGAGCCAGCCTCTGGAATCTCTGCAAATTCTGGAGCTTCATTGTCATTTTCTTTACCTGACTGACCCACTATTGAGTCTTCCTGGTTTTAAAAGATGTTGGAAATATGCCAAGGGCAGTTCGCCCATGTCCTCGGAAGGGCCAGGCTTTAGATGTCTCCTCTTCCGTGTGCTTAGCAGCTTCTGATCTGACTTGTCTCAGGCACATGCCTACACTGGCCCAGCCTAGCTGCCTCCTGCTTGCTGGGTGGTGGGAATGTGGGCTGCAGAGCAATGCAGGCCTTGGCAGGCCCTCCTTGTGGACAGGGGGCAGATGCTGTTTGGCCTGCATTTCCCTCTCTGTGTTTGCCTGATTCTAACAAAATATCTTCATTTCAGCCACATGTAGCCCTGCAACTGTTTTTAACTGTTTGTTTACCCATCCCTTGTCCCTAGCTAAGCCTCTTTATGTGTTTGTCACTAAAATCCTAGGACTCAATCTTAAGATCCAAGAAATGTATAGGATTCCCAAAGGCCTGGATGCACATATGCCGTGGGGCTTGGCGGTGGGGGGTGGGGAGGTGGGGGTGGCTGGATTCCGCTGACCAAAACGTAAGCAAGTAGATACTCCAGGTTTACCTATAAAATAAACATAACTTACTGAAGAATCTGCTGCCCTGGAGATTCCTCAAAAAGTGATAACTAGAGTTCATCTATTAAGAATGAAATGGGAAACTAACTTGATTCAATTTGACCTCTTTGGTTCTTAAAAATGTATTCAAGCCATTTAGGCCAGTACCCTTTGAGCTACATTGCTGAAGGAGTTATACTTACGTGAAATGAAAATAAGACTTTAATGTGATTACAGCAAACCCACAAGGAATTCAGGCTGCCTGGAGTATCCGCTAAGAGGCAGTGGCCGAGGGCGGAGTGGCAGACGTGAGGGGCCCTTGCCTTTCAAGATTTTAGGCACTGAGAGCAAGCTTGACTAGTAACCTGAAGTGTGGGTCTGTTTCCCAATGTCTGCTGCATGTGGAGCACCCAGCTTCCACCTTCCCTCATCCACAGTGAGGAAAGAATGGAGTCAGTCTGACCCCGGGCAAGACTGCCTCATAGGTTTCTTACTTTAAAATTATATGGTGTTCTTGCTGATGGTGAGTATTCTTGTTTTTGTATGATTTCAGGTATGGTTAGCTACTGTGACAGATACAGCGAAGGCATGAAACGTGTGCTGAACACCTTTGGGCCCATTCCAGAGTTCTCTGATGCCACAGCGAAAAAAGTTCACCAGGTATGTAGACTCACTGCAGAGAACTATGCTCCCAAGTGGAAGCGCTGTGACAAGTGAGTTTGTGTTTGTTGCAAGTACCTTTGCCTTTGATTTTTATATTTCCGCATTCCTAACTTTGCCTTTCTACAGTTCTGTTATGGTCACCAGCAGTCTTTGAAAACAGTGTGACCAGTGAATTGGTAATTCATTTTGGCTTGCCTCCAAGGAACTGTAAGCCTTCTGGGTTTGCAAGGCCTATGTTATTTTGGATTTTCTTTACTACTTTAGTCTTTGAAAGCAAAGTCACAGTATTTACAAATAAAACAGCAGATACATTTCTGGTAAATAATTTCCTGTCTGCTTTTTCTTCTTCCCAGGCCTTATGCATAAAGATTCCTGCTGACCCAGAGCACTTAACTGCCCGAAGGAAGTGGAGGGACCAGTGCCTCATGAGACTTGCCAAGTTGAAAAGCCAGATGCCATCCTTGTAGAATTTCTTGTAATGCTCCTGTCACTGGAAATTCTATTTGGTAGATATTTAAGCATTAATCAAATTGCTCAGAAACAGGCTGCAGCCATAGTCCTGTTTAGCATGCAGATTGAGCTTGATTGCCACCTTGTAGGTGCATGAAGATGGAGGTTGTGTGGCCTTCTGGTCCCTTCTGATAATCCTGAGGCCTGGGTGTCACAGCAGCACTGGGGTGCTAAGGGCTGGTGATTCCCTGCCATCTGGACAAGACAGAAAGCAAACAGTCTAAAGATTTTCACCTTTTCTTTCCAGTGTGATTATATACTTTAGAGCCAAAGACTATAGTTTCAGGTTACTTTCATCTGTGCCAACTATTTTTGTAATTACTTTCTAATCCCTTTCTGAGTACTCTGTGGCCCTACAATTATGAGGCAACTACATTTATGTTGTTGACGATTATTCCAAATAAAACTTACTTGATTCCATAGGATGTCTTTTACCTTCTGATCTTTCAGTATTAGATCCTGATGATAGACATATCTTAGAGGGACCATGATTAGTGAGTAAAAAGCAAGTACTATTTTAGGTCCTTCTTTCTGTTTTTAGAAAAATATAGGTTTGCAAGGGCCAATGTTTGGGCCAATGTTTCCCAAAGGCAGTTCCACAATAGAACCACCTAAATGGCACTGTGGTCAGCTGTGTTTGGAAAGTGCCAAAAGGGACATCCTGGTCTTGGGCAGTACAGTTTAGGCAGGGGACCCTAAACTGGCCAAGGCCTCACTGCCCAAATACTGTATCAAATACTGTCTGGGTTCTTCATCTACAGGTTCAGGAAACAACAACAAAGGGAGTTATTTAACAAACAGGATATTACAGAGCACCCCAATGTGAACTGGGTTGCCTGTCTGTGGGTCCTCACCCACGTGCTTAAAATTCAGTTGTACTGCAGGCAGAAACAAAAGGGTCAATAAATGGTTTATTTACAAAAGGGAAAGGAAAAGGAACAACCCAGGGAAAGAAAGGGAGATACAAGTTAACTAGAGCATCCTACCAGTTCTGCTAACTTGGAACCCCAATAGGACACTGAAAGCTCATCAAGAGTCTAACAACCAACCACCAGGCCGAGAGAGAGAGAGAGAGTCTAACATGGATCCTACATATATATCCCCAAAAAAGTCCCAAAATTCCTGCTTAGCTCTGCCTTTGGGTCCTCACAGTTCTCCCCTTCGTATTGCTGGGAGTTGTAGTTTCAGTGATTGGAGTAGGGGGTGGAGCTGTAGTTTTAATAACTGGAGTAGGGGGTGGTATCCACAAAACTGTGTAGCATTCCTTCAGGACATCCTTCCCCCAACAAGGATAAACAGGAGATACTGAGGCCAACAATGGCCATTAACCAAAGTTGTGGCCAGTACTGTCCTGTACAAAGACCATTATGATGGCATCTTCCCACCACTGAGGATGTGCAGCTCCTCTCCTAAACAACAGGGCACGTGTCTGAGATGACATCTCCCTGCCTCTGCTGACCTGGGGCACATGGCAGCCAGACTGCAGGTCAGGTTCCAACTCTCGAAGACAACAGAAGACAGAGATGTTCTTGGAGCAGTAGGGTGCTTCTGCACAGCACTAAATGATAGGGCACTCAGGACAGCAGCCACAATGACAAGAATGACCCAACAAAAGGCCTCACTTGTGTAGCTAAGCCAGGCTGTATCCGCAGCAAAACCAGGAACCTTTTCAGTCGCTCAGCGACTTGCAAAACCTCTTCCTCTGGCCTCCACCTTAAGAGGTTCACAGCGGACTTTTCCAAGATCAGCCTGTACCAGGGCTCAAATCCACTGGCCCCCAAAATGCTGAAACAACTCCAACCTGGAATTCTGGAGCGGGACACTGCACCAGGGTGAAAAATTCCCCTGAAGTCAAGTGACTTGACTACCAACTGATAAATAAAAGCAAGAGGGCTGTTTTTGCAAAGTCTCTCTCACTGCAATATGGAGGAAAACCCAAATCTTATCATTCTATTATCTCACCTAGCCTTCTATTCAGCTTTTTAAAGAATTACTCAAACTTCTTATTGTTTGGCCTTTAGATGTGGAAATTTACCCAGCTTGTCTGTTTTTAAACTAGTTTTCTACCTGTACACCTTAAAGGAATCCACAAAAGTCTTCTTGCTAGTTTTTTAGGATTCTACTATGTAGTCTTCAGATAAGGAAATTCACCTATTCAGAGATTTGATTAGCAAGGAATTTCCTCTTCTGCCTCCCAGGATGACTCAGGTAGAAAAACAAAAACCCATTAAGTAGTAGATAAGGTTTAAGGGACTTCTATCTTAGCTGACCTCCACTATAGTAATATTAGTCATAAACTTTGTACACTTATGTACCTGTTTTTAACCTTGATTGATTTTAGAATGTTATATCTCAGCTAAAGGGCAATACGACCCACGACCCTAAACTGTTCTTAGAAAAAAGATGATTGTAATCTCTCAGTCCAGTTCCTGTGCTGATATCATCCCACTACTTACTTACTCCTAATGTATAAAATTAAACCTCTGCTGAAGGCAGAGCAGGAAGACTTGCACCCAACTCTGACTCCCGTGTCTTCCTCACCCCCTTTTTTCCCCTTTTTTCTCCCTTTCCCCCTTTTTTAGGAATCTCTGCTCACTGACGCCTTCCCACCTTAGAGTCCTGCCTGTCTTGCCTCCAGACACCTCAATAGTTGGAGCTGGTCTCCAACAATTGTGTTGTATAATGTTGCTGGTAATTAGGCCATTGCTAGTAATTATGCAATTGAAAGGGTTTGTCCAATACTCACCATAAATATGGGGATAAAAAATAAAAGTGGGGACTGAGGCCAAGGACTGTTACAGGTCTTGGCCTGTGGCTGTGAAGAAAATACAGCCTCAGGGATAATGTTAAAAAATATCAATTTTGAGGAAGGGTTACCTTGGAGAGGAAGCAGAAGTCTGGAGGTAGGCAAAGAAAGCACAAGGAAGAAGTTGGTTATTTTTTTGTCCCGCTCCAGAATTCCAGGTTGGAGTTGTTTCAGCATTTTGGGGGCCAGTGGATTTGAGCCCTGGTACAGGCTGATCTTGGAAAAGGCCACTGTGAACCTCTTAAGGTGGAGGCCAGAGGAAGAGGTTTTGCAAGTCGCTGAGCGACTGAAAAGGTTCCTGGTTTTGCTGCGGATACAGCCTGGCTTAGCTACACAAGTGAGGCCTTTTGTTGGGTCATTCTTGTCATTGTGGCTGCTGTCCTGAGTGCCCTATCATTTAGTGCTGTGCAGAAGCACCCTACTGCTCCAAGAACATCTCTGTCTTCTGTTGTCTTCGAGAGTTGGAACCTGACCTGCAGTCTGGCTGCCATGTGCCCCAGGTCAGCAGAGGCAGGGAGATGTCATCTCAGACACGTGCCCTGTTGTTTAGGAGAGGAGCTGCACATCCTCAGTGGTGGGAAGATGCCATCATAATGGTCTTTGTACAGGACAGTACTGGCGGCCTTATGCGGCTGAGACAGTCCAATTGTAAGCTGAAAGTTGCTCAGAATATTTTGATATTATGATTATACAAAAAAGGGAGGTCATAACATAAGTTAGCAGTGGAAAGTCTGATTTTTCAGAGCTTTTCCCGTTCTACCCGGAATCTGTTAGACGATAGATGTTGCATAGCTTGTGTCACACAATGGCACAGCTACTTGTATCAATACCGGTTTAACTTTAACCTAACATCCCATTATCTTTGACATGAAATCTTTTCACAGAGCTCGCCCAAAATCCTATAGGGAATAGCAGTATAAGTTCCCTCCACCCCTTAAGGTTACTGTGTCACAGTGAATTTTATCATTAGATAACAGTTCCCAGGTCAAATGACATTAAAGCCTTTCAGTTTCAGGTGACTAACACCCCATCTTTCTCCAGTGGGTAGATACCTACTGTCACAGTCAGATTATGATGGTGTTGGAAGTAGCATCTCTGATGGGGATCCATGTGGAAATGGTAATTGGGCTAACATGCACATATACACTCATCTATCCCATTCATTCCTTCCACAGTTTTGTTGAGTGACTATGATGCAACGGACATAAAGCACATGGTCCCTGCCTTTCTGAAATTTGCCAAAAGACAAAATGTTAGAGTAAAATAGGATAATTGACCCAGAGGAATCATAAGGAGAAGATCATGACCAGCTGCCCCTGCTATTGCTCTGGGAACTTCCCAGCAGGCATCTTTTGAGCCCAGTCTTGAGTTACACATAAGAATTGACCAGACTTCCTGGCAGAGGGAACAGGCCAGGAAATGGGTCCTTGAGGTCTCAAATCAAACCCTATCGAGGGGAGGTTGAGTGAGACCCAGATGTTATAGACACCTCTATGATTAGACCTTATATAATGAAGTATAGCCAAAGAGATATGGAGATAAGGGGTGACCACTCAGACCAGGGTTTCAGAAAGTGAATTCTGACAACAGAAGGGTTTGTGGTCCAGGTAGTGCTGATTGGGGCAGTGGATTTAGAAAGCATCCTGGGTGGAGACAGTAATGGGATGACTATCTGAGAAGGTGATTTCAGAGCCTCTGAGTTTATCACATTATGCAACTATGCAGATACTGATGCCATCTTACAAGAAAAGGAAATTAGGAGGAAGGGCAGGAAATTTGAATGTTCCAGATACTAAAAAAGATAATATGCAAGACAATGGATAATTTTCTTCACATTATTAAGTTTTAGATCTTGCTTACACTCTAGTGTTTCCCTTTCCTCATGCCATTTATTGACTGGTGTTTCACTGAACCATAGACCAGAAATTTAGCTTATCCTCACAGTGTCTGGCTATTCTTTTATCTTCAACACATTCAACCACACATTCAAACTTGTCTTGTCATAATCATTGCCCTAGTCTCAGTGCCTGCCTGATTTCTTCTCTATGAAGGCCACAAAGGCCATCTACAGTTCACAGACCCAGGTTTGTGGTCACCAATATGAGGACAACTAGGCTGGGGGATCATCAGGTGCTGCTGGAGGCTTCATGCAGCCTGTTGGTTTCAAGATGTTGGAGAACCCTGGTAGTACTGGAATGGCTTAGCGGGTCCACTGGGCCAAGGGGAAAAAGCAGTAGTGTGGTGTGGAAGACAGTAGGGACAGCTTGGAAGTGCATTTGTTTACATGTTTAAATTTTATTTTTCCCACTTTTGCTGCAAAGTACTTTTTTGGGAGGATCAGGTCTGTTCTGAGAAAAATTGATGATTCTGCTTGTAGAAACCACAATGTATAATGAGGAAGAGTCAACAAAGAAGACCATCTGGAAGAAGTCATGGGGAGCCCAGCAATTTGATTCTCATCTAAGGACTGAAAAAAATTAGGCATTTTAAAATTGAGAACAGCAAAGAGCACATTTGTGGCTCTGGACCCATCTGCAGGAAGAAAGGTCTGGTATCAGCTGGATCACATAGCAGGGAGTTCTGTGAGTGTAACCTCACATAACACCCAA